ACCCTGGGGCGGCCGTTAGGCAACGGTCAGCAGCGCTGTTAGGGCTTCGCCCGACGAGTTCCCTGTCAGGGGCGGGAAGGGCGGGGGGCATCAGTTGACCCTCTCCAAGCCCTCGGGAGCGTTTGGAGGGCGGCGGTGGCGAACAGCTGCCGTCCTGATGCCCTCCCTCCCCCGGCCCCCAGTGCCGCGGTTACCTGTACCCCACCGGCAGGCTCCAGCTCTGGCTGCCGCTTTCACGAAAAACTCCCCCAAAGCCCAAGCGCCCGGGCTTGCCGGCGCTGACAGAGCCCCGCGGATGGCGGGGGGAGCACCCGCCGCCCGTGAAATTCTTCCTCAACACACCCGTTTCAACAGGAAAAAAAAAAAAAGACTAAGCCTTTAAAAAAAATGAGGGGAAAACAAATCATTCCCCAAATACATATATACAGTTCCCAGAATTAAGTCATGTGGAATATCCGAACCACAGCATAAAACATACAAACCCTTAGTCAGAAGTGAGTGCTTTATGTTTATTGCTACAGTGCTGAAGTAGAGGGGGTTTTGCTTCTAATAATTACCAACAAGTCATTTATTTCATTGACATTTAAAGCCTCCACAATAGTTTAAAATATTTAAGTTATTACTGTTCTACATAGCCAGGAGGTTTGGATGCATGAAGCCAAACATACATGTTGTTAATGCCATAGAAATGCATCTTCTCTGTATCACTTTTAGCAATTGACTTAATTTTTTGCTACACAAGTGCAAATAAAGATACAATTGCTGTTTTTCCGAAGTATTTGAAATTAGGTGCTAATTTAGCAAGTAAAGGTTTCCTACTTGAAATGTATACATAGTTCAGACAGAGATTTGAAGTAACACAGATCTATGTCTATTTCAACAACATAATAATCCCAACATTTTTTAAAATGCAGCTGAAAATTAACTGTTATCACAGAAGACGACAAAATAGATCCTCCCTTACTACTCACTTATAAGAAGGTTTCTTCTTTAGAAAGACAAAGCTCCTAAAATCCATTTTAAAGTGTAATGTAAGCCGTAAATGCTGTAAGACCATATTTCTGTCTTAAATGTCCTTCCCAAAAAATAGTTGTGGTGGGTTAATAGTCACAGAAAAAATTATCTAGACTTGATTTAAACAGTGAATGTATTTGGAAAGATTGGGCCAGCGATTGCTTATGGAGCAGATATGGCCTACTAGAAGGCATATGAAACTCAAACTGATTTTCAAGCACAGAGGTTCATTAAAGTCCTTTCAAGTTCTCAAAATCCTGGACTAGCATTTTCCAGCGATCTTCACAGCTGCAAATTCTGGATTTCCTGATAAGCTCTACCTATGAAGAATCAGTGCCTAGCATGCTATTAAATACACCCTGCGCATCACAGATCTTCCATTCAAATGCATCATTTCCTATACGTATATTTATTTCATCGGCAGGGTCGGCAGAAACAGCTGTACAAAGCTGTGCCGGCTGCTATGCAGGATGCTTGAAACTATGGAGCCCTGAAAACCGGGAAGTTTGCTCCTATGCGATAGAGACAATTCAGCAGTACATTGCTTCCCACCACTTCTAAAGTGCTCTTTGGAATTAGATATACTTTATGCTACAAGGTAGTTTTGTTGCATTCATAGCCACAGAATTCCTGTGAGATGCTTGGGCCTTCCAGTTATCATTTGCTTGATAGGGAATGAAGGTGTTCAGGCCTAGTAAAGAAGAAACAAAATGCATCTTTGTGCGCTTGTGCAGGTCGATAAAGTGACCAAGCAATCAACAGGACACTTAATCTTACAAAAAGCCAGACTAGACTATGAACTTTGGCTGTTATTTTAAACTTTGGTGTTATTTTTGAACCGATGAAACTATTTTGAATATTAAATTGTAATTTAGAAATGGTTTTAGGCTTTGTGCTAAGTCAGTACCTGATGGCTTGCTATATTTTTTGCTAAATTAATTCAAGCGGGGAAAAAGGCAAACGGTATTTCTGTAAGGAAAGGTCTTCCCTCAGGTGCAATATCAAGGACAGCAACAAAAATCCTGGCGCTCTGAGCCAATAGCAATCTCTGAAAATAAACAGAATTAGGATTTCATGCAACAGCTCTGTATCTCTGCCTTATACTAGAAGCATGCCAAACAGCACATTTGAAATTCTTTGGGGACAAGAATGATCCCTCTGAAAGCAAGATTTGACCCCTCAATTTTATCACGGTGAACCTCCAGCTATTTGTTTCATGATGCCTGCATTGTAATCATTCAAGTTTTAAACTTAGTAGCGCAGACTTAGAAGCACTGATTACAATAGCTTCTACGCTATAAAGTCTGCAACGCTATACAATTAGTAGCATAGACTACTAGAGTCGAAAATGGACATTTCCCTGTGGTGAATTAGTCCATTATTGCCTCATAAGCCACCTTCTGCAGCATCTGATCACAGCCCTGATCCACAGACCACACTTTTGCTCCAGTAGTCTAGCCATTTCTCTACTCCCCCACCAGCTTCTCAAAGGCAACTCCAGGCCTTTTTTATCCAAGGGGGATGAAGGAATACATTCTGTAAGGGACTTAACACAGAGAAACAAGATAAAGTGATTATCCTTATGGGCCATTCACTCTTCCATTTGTAAAGGAGAGAGTTCTGCATCCAATACATTACACGCCTAGAAAGAAATCAGTAGGGAGAAGAGTTGCCGAGTGCACCACTCTGCTGACAGGGCTGTTAAACTTCCAGCTGCTTGCCCATCTTGCTGAGGGCATCGCTGACAACGTCCAGCTCATGACGTAGCTCATTCACCACGCTGGCAATGCTCTTCGTGTCTTTCAGGATCTGCACACTTTGAGTATATGGATTGTACTTCATGCCAAATGGGCGCTTGATGGTTTTTGCAAACTCTCTATTCAAGTAAAAAAAGAGAGGGAGTTATAAACAAAACACAAATGCATCCTCTGTATGCAGCCAGTATCAATAACCACTTTTCTAAACTACTTACTTTCTTAAAAATATTTGTAATTGTTATACAGTTCGTCATCTTTCCCACCCGGTACATGGAAGACCAAGCAAATACTAATCTCGGCTTTCCAACCCCATGAAAGATAATTATAAAACTGTAATAAGAATAAAACGGTTTGGTGCTGCTACTGAGAGATGCATGAAATCAAACCTGCTTTTATAAAACAGGGAAAAAAAATCTGTACCTCATCTTTTCCTTTGCTTCTTCAAAACTTTCAGAAACAAAGTAAACCTCCTGGAAAGTTGTAATGAGGCATTCTTGCTTGCAGGTGACCTTTGGATCAAAAGGCTTGACTTTGGCACTGCCAGAGAGTGAGTGCTGGTAACATAATGTGTTATCGTGTCAGAGGAACGTCACCACCCAAATAATCCACAAGGAAGATAACATGAGGTAGAGTGAATAAAAAAAAAAAAAAAAAGAAGCGAGACCATATTTAGTGCATTGCTGCTTAAAATTTTTATCTACAGGTGAAGAGTGGTTAAAGCTTAACAAACGGAGTAACTCTGAACAGTCATATTCTGCCAATCTGGGTCAAAAAGGGATTCCTCAGACACAAGGCTCACGTGTATACAAGAGCAGTATTTTCAGAATCTGGTTAAACCAGCAGAGCTTTATTCTGAAAATAGTTACTTGGAACCTAATGCTAAGAAATACCAGTCATCTAATGCTTCCTGCGAAAGACATGGGAGCTGCTCAGCACATATCCAAAAGCAGACTGTCCAATGATTATTGCCACAGTGAATTTGCTTAAAGTCTAGTAGGTATCTAGGAGTTTTCAAAAGAAGGATTTTTAGAATTATACTTCATAAACAGGGCAAAACAGTGAAAATGATAATTAGGTACAAACGAAGAAAAGAGGTAAATAAGCACTAGATATTCTTACCTTGAGCTCACTAATTGAAGAGAGCAAGCCAGCCCCATAAACTCGTAGCTGTCCCTCTTGCTTGCACAAGCCAAACTCTACAGTGAAGAAGTAGCACTGAAACAGAGAAGGGAGTAAAATAATTCAGCCTTCAGCAAAGATGCCGTGGTGAACTAGATGGGGGCATTTCTATTTGTAGGTAGTGTCAAATGGTTGCAAATATCAGACAGTCATCACTTGGTTACCCTCCTCAGATATTTAAAGAGGAGGGAAGCCAGAATGGAAGGGTGAAGAACCACAGGATTGCATGTTTCTCATAAGAAAGATTGATATCATAGATCACCCAAATAGGCTAGAAGCTGTTAATGTCAATAGGAACATGGAGACGTAAATCCATTTTGAGAAATATTGTCATGACATGACAGCTTCAGCTTAAGAGAGATAGAGAGGATCTCTGAGTGAGTGAAAACATCAGCCCACTACAGTTTGTTCCTCATTTGCTTAGTGGCCTGTAAAATTAAAGATGTTTAGCTTGCTGGATTTCTGCAGGTATATGGGGAAGAATGCTATTTTCATAGATGGCTTAATTCTCCTCCCACTGAAGGTAGTAGGAATTTTACCACTAGCTACACCAGGTGGGGAAAAAAAAAATTAAAAGGATATCAGCAAACCAGTTCTTTCATAACTGGCATAAATTGTTTTTCATCTAAATTTAATTTTCATCTCAAAATATTTTTGCCAAAGCATCCAGAAACTGATAGCCAAGAAATAAGATTAATTTATATTATTTGAATTTTTTGGCTGGAAAGTATCTAATGCTAGTGCTCACCACATTCAATGAACACCATATCATTTCAATTCATTCTACACATTAAAGAAATAGATTACTTTTAAAATCATTGAATCAGGTTCCCAGAAGCAAGAAGATTTTGGTTGGAAGAAACGGACCATAGGATTTCAATCTGGAAGAAGTGATCTACCACCAGAAGCTGCACCCTTACTTGACAGCCAAGTGAAGAAAAATACCAATCATATCAACCTTAAAACGTATTTTTTTCCTAGCATGGAAAATTGCTAAATGCTCTACAAGCCAAGAACCAGTGAAACACGTAGGTCTAGCAGCTGGTGTGGCTAATGTTGATATGAAGCTCCAAATTTATTCAACAGAGTGGGATCAGCCTAGTAAAGCACGAAGCTTTCAATGAGATCACCAGGCACTGACGAAATACTCACTGTTGCCAGTTTTTGGACAGACTCATCTGATGCCCCAAGTGATGCAAGACCAATTTCCTGGGAGAACTGAGCAAAACTGGGTTCAGCCAGAAGAGGGACATGGCCTAGAAGCTCATGGCAGGTATCACTGGAAAAAGAAACAAAACAAGAAATCTCATGATCTGTCTTTGTGGTAGAGTGAAAAAGCAGCACCACTGAACAGATACAGTGTCTTGCGTTAAACTATTTAATATCCAAAAGACAGAAAAGTGTCAATCATGTTTAGCTGAAAGCAACTGAGCAGGTCATACCAGCTCTACGTAAGTACATAAACTCAGATTTTCAAATGAAGCTGTCTAAAATTAAGATCTGAGTTCCACACTTACGAGGTAGTTGAATATTAAACTAACTCTGTGCACAACGACATCAGTAAGACCCCTTCAATAACATGCTGTACTTTTGAAAATCCTGTACTTATGAAGGTGGCACTTGAGCATGCTAAAACTTCATTACATTCAGTGTGAAAGCTGAGTCTTCAGCACCTTAAAAATAAGTTTTCTTGCTGGTGTTCTTGAATAGCTTTTCAAGTAGCTTGGCTCTGGGCAGTGAGATTCAAAATGCTCTCGCTCAAATTCTACCCCAAGATTAAATGACTCACGGCTCTGGTGTATAGAGAGGGTCCGAGCTGTGTCTAACATATTGAGTGCAGTGAAAAACTCTGAATGCTAATCCTGCCAAGAAGTCTCTGGGCGATAGATATCCAGCAACGGGGCGAATGGTGAAACCTGTGCGCTCTGAAAAGGAACAGAGAACTTGTACATTAGTGTAGAATTGCACAATGTTGTCACCTTTCCTGCTACAACTGGGGTAAAAACCACAGCGCTACCTTGGCTCAAGAGCATGTGGGAAAGTTAGGCACAATTAGAAAAGTTAGGCCTAAGCTTGAGAACAACCAACATTTAGTAAAAATGTCCCTACCCCGTATAGGTGGATTTCCTACGATTACATGCCTAGAGCCAACACAATACAGCTAGGTATCTCTTTAGCCAATCCTAATAGTCTCTTCAGAGGTAGCATTGCCCCTCAAATGTCACTGTATATATTCAAGACAATACGTTAAAACACTGATGGCCAAAAGGCCTCTTAAAGGACCATAAGGAACACAAGCAAAAGTGACCAAAGATGTTTTTTTGTGCCCATATAATAGCAGTGTGATTTGCAATGGGCCTTAGTTCCTTTTTGCGTAAGAAAATTAGTACGTTACCTTTCAGGAAGCAAGACACATCTTCCAGCTGGGGGATATTGTCTTCCCTGTATCCACAGTATTTGGTGAGCAAGGGTAAGTTTTTAAGGTACTCTCTGCAGGCATGAGTTGGGTAAAGCTTGTTAAGCTCTCGGTACACAGTCCCCCAAGTCTTGATCTCCTCCTCGGTGAATTCAATCTTGGGAATTGGGTCACCACTACAAGGGGAAGAGAAGGAAGGACATTCCTTGGTAAATGGCTAATAACAGATGACTCATTTACTTACTATTATTGTTTAACATTTATACGGCTGTGACACCTGGTCAGGGTTAAAACCCCGTTGCATTAGGCACTGCCAAAGACACAGTGAGATCCGGTCTATGCCCTGGAGAGCCTTTAGTCAAAGGGCTTGCTCTCTTTTCCACCTAAATTAACTAACAGGAATCTTTGCATTGACTGTAAGCTTTGGTCCTGTGAACAGTTTCTTAGGTGTTTAATGCTGAGAGTAACATTTAAAATACCTGCTAAACCTTTACAGCTTCAGGAGCTGGGAACACATCCCTTTTCCCTGTAGGACTTCCATGTCTACAATTACTTTCCGTTACCTTTCTGATTTGTTTTAGAAAAAGAGAATTCCCTAAATTAATAACACAATGTGTGGAAGCAGCTACATATACACATCAGGTAAAAATCATGTTTCTATGCAGAGCAGACAAGCGTCTGTCTGAATATATTAATTGTAGTCCATCTCTCCTATTTAGCCCTCAGGATCTCGATTAAAGTGGAGTATAGTGAGGGTGTGACCTAAAGCCCACTGAAAGCAATGGGAGTGTTACACTGAGCTTCCACTGCCAGCCAAGTAACCAGCATCGCAGATGCTTTCCCAGGGGAATCTCTTTTAACAACACATTAACAGTAACTGGCTATGTGCTGCAGTAACCAGCTGCTTTAATACGCAGTGCAATAGAGCTCTAGATACCCACCATTTCTAGGTCATTTCCAATTGAGGAACTTGGCATCTAAATTCAAGCAGGCAACAGCAATATGAAAATCATGTTTAGAAAGAATTTACAGCACTGGGCTATGAAACTCTTACTGCTTTAAGAGCTCCCTCCCCAAGCACCATCTCTAAAGACAGAAGCTCTCCAAGTTTCTTTTAACAGAAAACTTCTTATCTACACATCACATGCACTAGTTTGAACCACGAACGAAAACTCGAGTATTAACATTTGCCCAGAGAGTTTACACTCAGTGGTTAGTGGGCTATATATTGGGTTTTGCCTCCCCTCCCTCTCCTTCGCAAAGGAGACCGATCTGCCCTAGTCAAGTCAGTACGTCCTGGCACAAGCAGCTGTGCAATATGCGTTGTCCACCCTCTGCCTTTGTTGCACCCATTTCCAGAGAAGTGGGGAGGGACCGCAGAGTCCAAATGCGCCACACTGCAGGAAGCCCACGCTGACATTGCTGCCCATCTGAGGATCAGTGCTGCCGCAGGTGCCATAATGGCCAAGCAACCACAAGCTGATCCTCAGACTGATCAGAGGCCCAGGGAGCTGTAAGATGGCCTAGATCTACCTTTTAATCTTGTCTTACATCTCCCTTTGTTTTACCCCTCCATCTCCGATTCTTGAGCCAAGCACGTCTCAGCGAGATCTGAGCCCAGGGAACGTGAGCTCCTGCCAGTCCACTCTGCTATTATTTCAAACCACCCAGAAGGCTTATTCTGGAAGAAGTCAATCTTACTGTTTGTAGTTCATAGCCAGGTCTGCAAAATACTTTCGCCTCTTGCGGTAGACATTGTCTTTGAAACCCTGGGGAAGGGGAAAAACAAAGTTAAATGAGTGTCCAAACTGTAGTAAATAAATTAATTTAAAACAAGACACATGAAATTTCTTCAGCGGGGAAATACGAAAGTATGCTGTGTAAGAATGAGAGGACAGGGCAGAAACCTTATAGCTGTAGTCTGAAAAGTTTAATAACTATGAACTAAGCAAATACTCCAATTCGAAGTAAGGTTTTATGCATGCAACTATATATTCAGTAGACAAGGATTCCTTTTAGTCGTATCAGTATTTATACAATCTTTGTTACTTGCTTGATTATTCTAAATTACAGGACAAATTGCCCATTTGCACTGCCCAAGTACCAAATTGTTTGCTCCATTTATAGTAAGGAAGAAAGAAAGAGGAGGAACCAAGCCTGCCTCGCAACAGCTTTTTTTTTTTTTTTTTTTTAATTTGTATGCTACCACTCAGGGCCCAGACCTAGAGTCCTCACACGAGTGAGCCTTGCAGAAAGACACAGGAGCTGAAGTCAGGGACAGCCTTGCCTGAACTAGGAAAAAGACATGAAAATCCCAAAAGAAGGTGCTCGGATCCACAGAGACGCCATCGAGGGGAAGGAGCGGGAGGAGGAAAAGCTGCAATTTTTTTAAAGTAAGCTCCACAAAGTACATTTTCACTAAGGATTGAGCACGGGGGGAAAAGATACTTACTGGATGGTCAGCATCCAAGTCGGACCCGTACATCAGCACTCGGTTTGCACACTTATCCAAATCTGAGATCTTCTTTGGAAACCAGGGAACATTCTCCATGTCTAGGGAACGCATGGAATCCACAAAGTTATTAATAACACCGAGCATGCTGAGGGAGGAAACGCTACTTTCAAGTATGGCTATGGCGGTTACAAGCGAAATCTATAAATTAAAAGGGTCATGAATAAGACAAGGGCGTCCACTGCCTATCTGGCACCAGCCTACAGCTCACACTTCCTCCTGTCACTGCCACAGTCTGCCTACAGAGTACAGCCAGCTCCAAAGTGTCCAGGGGAGGAAACAGTTAACATGGGTTTTCTGTGGCCCTTAACTGTTAATGTCAGAGTAGTATCTAGAGGCTCCCACTGAGACAAGGCCTCCTTGCGCACACTGCTGTGAATCTTCCAGGGTACAAAGTGTGCAAAGGAGCAGAGGAGTGATTTGCCTGGGGTCTCTGGGCAGAGTGGGAGCAGGTTTGAGTCCTCCCATCCTGCTTTACTGACCATGGGAAATAAACGTTGCTGTGTGGTTATGTACCTCAGAAGCATCCAGCTTTGCTGAGGGTTTGTGGGGAAGAAGACGATGAGGCAATTTCAGCCCTGCAGCCTTAGAGAGATGCATCATTACAGTTTTGCTACTAATTTTTTTTTTTTTTTTTTATTCCTGGGGGGTTTTAAACCAAGGCTTTGGCCAGTGGGTTAATGG